ATGAATTCACTATGCTTCTCACAAAATGGAGAAGCATAGTAACTATGCTGCCTGACCACATGTCTCCTCCTGATTTCCAATTCGGTTGACACTACCACTGTCCCAGGCATCCAGGCAGCCAGATCTGAAACTGCCTTCCCCCGACACCCCAATCACTCTGCAAGTTTGTGCATCTACTTTTCCATTCCCACTGCCACTATTTGGCAAAGGCAGTGCAGTCATTTCTGCAGCCCCAGAAATGGGAACACTAATTGCATCAGCCTATTTGGGATTATCTAATAGTCCCTGCAAAAATATTTTACTGACACGGCCACTTTTTACCTATGATCAACATGCAACAGGCTTTATGGGCCCCTTGTCTTTTCATCTCTTCATTCGTTATTCCTGTTCTAATGGTAGACCTCCTCGCTGGGCCTAGCATAGCAATCAGAGAGGCTCTCAACCCTTCGGTTTTTCCAATGATTCTCAGAACCACCCCAGAACACATTCCAAACAATTCCTCGAAACAAGTGCTAGTTTCCTGGGGCTGCTGTAACAAATTACTACAGATGTGGTGCCATGAAACGACAGAAATTTATTCCCTCAGAGTTTTGGAGGCCAGAAGTCTGAATCATTCGGCAAGGGCTAGTTCCTTCTTGGGGACCCAGTGGGAAAAGCTGCTCCATGCTCTCAGCTCATGCTGATCGCTGGCTGTCTCTGGTGTGTTTTGTGCTGGTGGCAGCACCACTCCAGTGTCTGCCTCGGACAGGTACATGGCAGTGTCCCTGTGTCTCCGTGTCTCCGTGTCCAAATCTCCTTTTCATACCAAGATACCAGTGCCTGCATTGAAGCCCACCCTAACCCAGTTTGACCTCAACTTAACTTCATTAGCTACAGAGACCCTAAAGATCACATTTACAGGTTCTCTGTGGACAGGAATTTAGAGAAAACCCTTTTCAACTCGGTGCCCTACTCAAGTCTCCACCTTTGGGACTGCATTCCTCTAAACCTCCTCCCAAATCTTGAATCCTTTCTACTTCCATAAGTAGCAAAATATTCTAGGCTGCTCCATCAGAGTTAGCCCAAAGCCAGTTAGTTAACTACCCAGTTACAGACCCACCTGGCTCCTAAAAACTTGTTCAACCAGAGGCCTGGCTGAACCCTATCAACAGCCTCAGGACATTTTCCACCCTATCTTCTCCACCCTTCCAACAGCCTCAGGACATTTTCAGTTTCTGCCTTCAGGTTTCCAGCCTTCTCTAGCCACTCTACTGAGAGGTGTTTAATACTTCATTAGCACCTCTTTGCATCTCGGTGTGAATCCCTTAATCTCTTCCATTCTCTCAGTACAAATCCCCTTTCTCCCACCAGCCCAGCTCCAAAAGGCTTCCTATCTGGGAGCTGGGAGGCAACGCAGGAATTCGTAAAGGCGCCAGCCTGCGTCTGCCTGCCTTGCCACCCCTATGGCCCATAACCCTAGGGGTGCCGCGAGCCTCTGAGGGTGTCGAGCCTCATTCCTGCCATACCATTTGAAATCCTCCACAGTGGGCAAGAACTCAGTCAACCCATGGCAGACTGTCCGCACCCTTTCCACACCCGAAGACTGGGTCCACACAATCCCCCTGCCAACCAGCCAGCAGGTGTATACTTCCTCCCTTCCTTCCCACTAGTCAGCCCTCAGCGCCCCGTGCCCTGGGCAGTTCTAAAGGAAGTCACAAAATGAATCACTTCTTTTCTGTAGCTTTTTTTTTCTAACATTTTATTCTCAACATTTTTAAAAAGTCAACAAAAGCAAGGATTTGATAGTGGACTACTCTATTAACCCAACACCTAGATACTACCACTATATGTGAACATTTAGAAACTGAGACCTACTTCACATAGCATTAAATTCACTTTAAAGTGAATTCTAAAAACCACAGACACTCCACGTTGCAGATGTCAGGCCACAGAAAGGTCAGCATGGCACTTCACACTCTCCTGGTAACAGACTCTGAACCGGAGCAGCCTAGAAGATGAACTCTTCACAGGAAAACCCACATTCTAAAGGCAATAACCCCAGAGCGTTTTATCGCATGGGTGGCTGGCCTAGCTGCCTTACCCAACTTTCTGGTACCAGAATTCTGCCTGTGATCCATTCTCTGTCCCCGGGGCAGGACTCAGAAACAGTAACCCTACTTTGCTATGCGAAGTGGTGCCCAGCGAGCACCTGGGGTTGTACCCCAACCCCCTTTGCCCACTACACCTAACCAAAAACCTAACTTCTGTGTGTCTTCGAATCCAGCAAAATTCCTGCACTACGGTGCCTCTGGGATGGGGGGGGGCGGGGATGAGAACCGAAGGGGCTCAGACTAACTTCAGCAGGTATAGGGAATTCACAGAGCTCCTGGGAAAGTAGGGGTGCACGCAATAACGCTCATGAGGGTGAAGACCCCTCCCCAGATAAAATGTACGGCGAAGAAGTGGGAGACTGGGACAGCTTCCCCCCAGGGGGCCTGTTACCTCTGCTGCCTGCTTGGCCCAGTGTAACTTCGTCAGGGGAGCCGTCCAGTGTGATATGAGTGGGTGGCAGGATGCAGAGCTGGAGAGGTCCCCTGAGCAGATGCCCTGGTAAATGAAGAGCTATCACCACACCACACAACAGAGGGATCGAGGGAAAAGTCCAGGAAGAGGAAATTAAACCAGGCCAGAAGCATATTCTTAAATCGACAATGTACTTGAACAAAAATGCTACCTCAAACATTGTGCTTCCCGACCATTCAGATGACTGTGAGTTGAAGACAAAATATGTGAGGTAGAATGGTTCTTTGAAGACCTTAGTAGTCTAAGTTCTAAAGAAAGGTTTTCATGTGAGGCACACAGGGCAACTGGCTTATCAGCAAGCTCTTTCTCTCCCTAGCTAGTCAGCCCAGCAGCAACAAGATCAACAACAATAATAAGAGTACTGGATATGAGAACATCCCTCTGGTTAGTGTGTTGATGAGAAAACAGGACTTTGAAATCATTGATAGCAAGTTTCAAACAGAACATGACCACTCGGAGAGACTGTGTCCATGACATCAAGCTCAGGGATCACTGGAATGGAATGGGAAGAATTACTGAGTTCTAGCTACAAAGAAGAGCTACATATTGCCTCATCACAATGGGCTAGAACATGTGATGTCTTCACTGGAACCAGTAAAACTGTTTGCCAACAAAAAATAAAAAACAAAATGAATTTTGAAGTATACACTTCAGTGGTGTTTAGTATATTTGCTCTGTTGACTCCAGAACGTTTTCATCACCCCAGAAAAAACCCTGCACCCATTAACACTCCTAGTTTCCCTCTCCTCCCATCCCCTGGCACCCACTAATTTACCTTCCATCTCTTCAAGCTTGTCTGTCCTGGAAATTTCATACAAATGGAATCACGTAATATGTGGCCTTTTGTGTATGGTTTTAAATTAGGTAATGTCTTCAAGATTCCTCCACGCTACACTAGTACTTCATTCCTTTTTATGACGACTAATCTTCTGTTGCATGAATAGATAACATTTTATTCATCCATTTATTAGCTAAGGAACACAGGGGTTGTTCTACTTCTGGGCTATTACAAATAATGTTGCTAAGAACATTTCTGTACAAATTTCTGTGTGAACATATGTTTTCGATTATCTCAGGTAGGAACCTAGGAATGGAATTGCTGGGTCATACAATAACATCAGCATTTTATATGTATGCTTTATCACGAATCTACCCACTCTTCTGCCCATCTCACTTTTGTGCACTCGAGAATAAATTGAAAACATTAATACACCTCACTCCTAAACTCATCAGCATGTCTTTTAACCAGAATTTAATATTTGTTTAAAGCTTTTTCATGTACAATTCACAAGCGATAAATACAATGAATTTTAACACACACATACACCTGTGAAACCCCTACAGTGTCACCAAGATAGAGGACATTACCACCACTCTAAAGTTTGCTCAGGCCTTTTCTAACTCAGTCCTTGCTCTCACTCCACCCTCTCCAAGGGTGATGAGTCTCCTGATTTTTTTCCCACCATAAATTAATTTTTCCTGTTCTGGAAATTCATATAAGCAGAATCATGTGGTATGTGCTCTTTTTTCCTCTGGCTTCCTTTTCTTATAGTGCTGTTTCTGAGATTCGTCCGTGGATTGCATGTAACAACATTTCCATCCATCTCGTTGCTTAAGAGTATTCTGTTATATTGTGTATGTGCCATAGTTGATTCATTCACCTGTCGCCAAACACTTGAGCTGTTTCCAGTTCATGGTTTTTAGGAATAAAACTTCTGTGATTACCTGCCTGTCGGCGTGGACGCAAATCTATGTTTTTACTTCTCGTAGGTCAATATCTGGGATTGGAATTGAATCATAGGGTGGGTGTGTGTTTAGGTTTTCTTTTATTTTTATTTCTTCTTTTATTTATTTTTAAATTTTAATCTTGTGTATTCTATTACGGTTGTCCCAATTTTGCCCCGTTTGCCGTCCTCCGTCCCACCCCGCCCCCTCCTCCCGCAGTCCATCCCCCACCTCGTGGTGCATGTCAAATACCAAACAAACGCCTATCCTCAGTCCTTCTCCTCTCCATCCTCGCCTCACGCTCCGGGTTGTGACTGCCCAGCCGCTGGCACCCTGGACCTCAAAAGCGCAAATGCCAGAACCAGACAAGTTGACACGCTTAGAGGAGGGGAGCGTGTGGGCGTGTGAGTGTAAGTTGTAGGTGCTGTGTGTGGAAAAAACCAATATAGTCCACACAGGTATCCATTGGCCAGAAATTCCAATCACTCCCGCCTAAAAGAGCGAGGATCAGCTCGCCATTGCGTCCTCGCCGACAGTATTTAAGACTGTGGAGCTCAGAGGGAGCGAGGCTTCACGCGGGACCCGCGCCCCGGGGCACCCCGCCCCCCAAAGGTACGGCGCACCCCTGCTCCCGCGCAGTGGTTGCGCCCAGCCGCGACGTCACCCATTGTTTACAAATCAACCCGAGCCGGTAGCATTCCGGCTCTCACTGCTGCGGCGCGCGGCACGAGTGCCAGACGGTCTCCGGCTTCCGCGTCTGCCCAGCCCCGGCTCCAGCCCCGGCCGGATCCTGGCCCCGGCCCCGGCCCCAGCCCCGGCTCCGGCCTCGGCTTCGGCTCCGCACCCGGCTCTGCCGCGGCCCACAGAACCGCCAGCGACGCCAGCGAAGCTTCGAGTTCCCAGGCTGGGGGACATGCCGTGCCCGAGGGAGGAGGAAGAGGAAGCCGGCGAGGAAGCGGAGGAAGAGGAGGAGGAAGACAGTTTCCTCCCGCTGGAGCAGTCAGAGCCGCTGGGTGGCTCGGGCGAGGTGGACCGGCTGGTGGCCCAGATGGGCGAGATGCTGAAGCTGAACGCGGCGCAGGACAGCCCTGCCACCCCGTGCGTGTCCCCCGGGCCACCGTTGCCGCCCCCGGCAGCGGTGCGGGCAGACGGGGCAGGGCCCCCCGTTCTGCCGCTGCTTCTGCCGCCCGCGCCGGCCGAGTCGATGGGCACAGCGTCCCCGGGGGCCGTTCGCTGCGCCCTCGGGGACCGCGGCCGCGTGAGAGGCCGGGCTGCGCCCTACTTCGTGGCAGAGCTCGCCGCGGGTCACGGCGCCCTGTCCCCATTGCCTCCTCAGTCCAGCCTAGACGGGCCTTCGGGAGACGACAAGTGGAGCGCCCCAAAGCAGCTGTCCGGCCCGTGCCGACGAGGATGGCTTCGGGAGGCCGCGGCCGCCCACCGCCTGCCGCACCGACGACGACGTGGGCCCCGGACCGACGTCCACGGCATCGACGACGATGACCCGTACCGGCTCCTGCAGCAGCTCGTGCTCTCGGGGAACCTCATCAAGGAGGCCGTGCGGAGGCTTCGATTAAGAGGGCCGCGGCCACGCGAAAATGTTGCCCAACGCCCGTTCCCGACACCCCCGACGGCCACAGCACCCGAGTCCGCGTCCTCCAGCCCTCGCGCCGTCTTCAGCGACCCCGGCGCGACCGGAGGGAGCGCGCCGCTCAGAACTGGCGACGGCGTCCCTGTGCCGGGCAACTAGTGCCCCGGCAGTGCGCGCCGCGCCGGCCTGTGCCCGGAGCGCCAGGGAATCCTCCAGAGGCTGCATCTTTACTCAGACTGATGAACTCACACTTCCGACGCGGGAAAAGAAGCTAACGACGAGGAATCGAAACATCGCCAATGTGTTCGCGGGGCACTGAGGCCAAGGGCCCTGGTGTTGAAAAGCAGGGCTCGGTTGGCCCTATGTAAGGCATATTACAGAGCGCACCCCCAGGTCACAGTCAGTAGGGCCCCTTATTTGGCGTGACCATTCTCGGAGGCACCTACAGCCTCCCTGGGCCTCCAGCCCGGCGACCATGAGGCCACAGGTCGTGCTTCTCGGGATCGCCATGCTCCCTGAGGATGAGGATGACCCCAGTTACTTGTTTTACGTTTTCAGGGTTGGTTCCTGACTCACTTTGGGGGGAGGGGAACACGAGTAGACGATCATTTCAGGGAGTACCTCAAAACTGCCAGACTTGAAAATTTACAACACTTAAAAAAAAAACCATTTTGTGTCTTTTGGGGTGCTGATTCTTAAAACACACGGTACCATGAAAGGACCTTTTCTCTGTCCCTGCTTTGTAACTGGCCGCGGTTCCCCCGGTGGAGGGGAAAGCCGTGGTGTGTCCAGGGTGGGGATGGGAGGTGGGCGGTGCAGCGCTGGAGTCTCCTGAGGACAAGCGCACAGCCACCGCCGCGGTGCAAGCTGGCGGGGACGTGTTGGGCGCCGGCACCTCCCGCGGGCCGCCGTACTCAGGGCTTTCATGGAAACAGTCCAAAGACGTGGCCTCGGGTCCCTCCTCTCCCCCTCAGCTCTGCTGTTTTACCCAAGAGGGTGGTGCTGGTGCTCCTGGGGGCCCCGTCTGGGGGCTGGGGAGACGCCACGTGACGGGCACTCCAGGGACACCCAGCCTCACAGCAGCTTATAATGGGCTCTCCAGGGCCATTTGCAATAACAGCTGCAATTCCCCGGGTAGACAGAGTTGATTTCCTCCCTCTGCCCCTCCCCCAGCCATGCCAGCTCGCCTTTGTAAGTGAAGGAAACCGAGTAGAAAATGTGACCCTCCAAATGGAGAAGCTGCACGTTTTGCCATTGTAAACCGTGGTGAAGTTCGTAACGTACTGTTCACTCACTCTGAGGGATTGAAGACCGGTTAGTTGGTGTTCTAGTTTTATAAGATTCAATGGCCTGTTCATCATCCAGATGTGGCTATTGACATATCTACACTTCGTGCTGGAGTGTCTGGAATTGTGGCCATCCTGATAATAGGATTTTAACTTAACTGAAGTATCTGTTTTCAATAAATGAGTTTCATTCCTTGTTTGGTTGTATTTTATACTTGCTGTCTGTGGGAAAGATGCACAGTACACATTTCTCTGATCTCCATAAACATGAAAACACTTGAAATCTTTGTCAGCCCAGCTTGCAGATGGTAATTAGAGTGTCTTTGTGTCTGAGCAGCTCACTAGTTAGACAGGGTCTGCTCGGGGTGTGTGTTGGTGCTGGCATGAAATTAAATCAAAGTGAGGTCAGGTTTTAGACCAATCCCTTTCACCAAAACCCAGGTGTCCAACCATTTGGCATCTCTGGGCCACACTGGAAGAAGAAGAGTTGTCTTAGGCTACGCATCAAATACACAAACACGAATGAAAATGAGCCAAAAAAAAAAAAAAGGTTTTAAGCAAATTTTTGTGTTGGGCCACATTCGTAGCCACTGTGGACCACATGTGGCCCATCGGCCATGGGTTGGACACCCCTGCTAAAGCCTGTGGATTACTAGTCAGTGATGGAGATGTTTTATGAAGCTGCTTCTGCCTGTTTTAGCAGAGAACATCAGCTCAGTCACTGCAGACAGGGAGGCTTATCTTTTTTTCTACTGTGGTCACTCATTATGTGGGCCTGTTCTACAAGGGGGCCCAAAGGCCGAGCAGCTCTGCTGTAGGGGCTGCTCAGGACGCAAGCCTGTAGTGGGGAAGCGGTGGGAGTGTATCAAAGGGTTGCTCTCAGCCTTTGGCTTATCTGCTGCCTTCTCTCCCTAAGAAGTGACCTAACAGCCCATCTCTGTCCCTCTGGTTCTGAATTACTTCAGTCTACTTCTTAAAGGAAGGAGCCAGGCTGTGGACAAGGGTGTTCGTTTAGATTCAAGTTCACTAATAAATGGGGACCTTGGACAAGCTGCTCAGCTGTGGACCTCCATTTCCCCCCCCTGTATGACAGATGAGAAGTGAGATGAGTAAAGCGTTCGTGGAGCCTGGCCCTCACCAGAGATAAACAGCCTTTAGTCCCCACCCCTTCTTCCCAGGACACTCCTAAGAGGCTCAGTGATCCTCTGTCTCTCATGAAACAAACACATACCATGCTTCCAAAAGTCCTTTCTGGACCACTTAGAGTTCTTTCTAACTTCCTTTTTCACTCAGTGCTTGTGGTCTATACCTCCCCATTCTCTCCAACACACAGACCCCGAGGGTCTGGGAGCAGTACCTCCAGAACACACCTAGCCAGCCATTTCCCACTACTTGCCCAGAAAAGGTTGTAAGGGGCTCAGTCCAGTGCTACCTGGTGAGGGGAGGAGGATTATGAAGGCTCTAACACAGAATGAGGAAGGGGACCTCCAACAGTGCAGTGGCCTGTCACTTCTGGGCACCGCAGCAGGAGAAAGTGGTGCTAACTTGCCGCGACATTGGAGCAGCCCTGAGGTCCACGGCCTGCTTCTTAGCTGGGGTGGGATTTCTGGGAGGTCAGTGGGTTACGGTCAATCCAGAACCCAACTGGTCATGATTTGATATCACTGCACCAACTGTGTTGACTTCTCGTAATGAATGGTTAAAGCTAGACTAAACCATAGGACTCATGTAGTATAACCCCTCATCACGAAAGGAAGATTGGAGAAAACTAATGCCCACTATCAAACACTTTATTTATATTGTTTATTGATTCAAGAGAGAGAAACATCGGTTTGTTGTTCCACTTATTTATGCATTCATTGGTTGATTCTTGTACCCAGACCAGAAATCAAACCCACAACCTTGGCATATCAGAACAACGCTCTAACCAACTGAGCTACCAGCCAGGGTACCAGCTACTTTAAATGTACTGTAACCCTATACCTGTCCTCCTTTTTCAAAGTCCTACAAGGTCTTGTTCATCATCATAAAATCCTTTTTTGGAAAACAGGTTTACAGAACTGATTTTTCAAGCTTATTAGACTATTTATAGGTGGAAAAATAGTCCAGGGAGGGGGCAGAGCAGAGTGACCAACCAAAGTCATTTTTTGAAGTCATTTCAGAGCACAGAATCCAGATCTCTTTCCAACAGCCTGATAACCAACACACAGTTCAGTACTGTTTACTGCACAACTCCACACACACATGCAATAGGAACAGTGCCCCTGTGGCTGTCCGGTGTGGCGGCCCTGCCAACGGAACTCTGGGAAGCCGTACTCCAGACCCCTAGGCTGAGCAAGGGGAAGCTGTAACCATTCTCTCACAAAATGCTCAGCAACCTATGAAGACAGTTGGCCACAGAAAAGGGCCTGAGATAAAAGGCCAGAACTATACCCTCAATGAAAAACATGCAGCATAAGCACAGAAATTGGCAAATAACAAATGATTCAAACAAAAGAACACAGCACTTCACAGAGAACTCCAGAGTCAGCCACCCAAGGACTTTATTCTAAATTAGGCATAAGTGCTACAATATTTGGATTCAATTTTTACCCTCTTTGGCTCTCTCCTTTTCCAGCTCAGAAGCAGATACATGGAGCGAAGATCAGACACCACTTCCCTATCCAGCAAGGTCTGTGTTGAACCCTGTGATCCCTTCCTTCCAATCAGAAAAGAGTTACCCTGGCAACCAAATTACTAACTCACTCAATTAGCTCCCCCTTCTTCCACTGATGCTCAGTAATCACAGAATGCCAGCCCTGGGAGAACTCAGCCTTCCTTGGTCTACTGCTACCACTTCATTTGGAGATGGAACCCCAGAGATGTTTCCACGTGGAGGTTGAACACCGTGAAGGCAGGTGCAAGCAAAGGGCCAGCGCTTCTGCCTGGATTGCCATCCATAGCTGAAGGGAGAACAAGTCACCCGCCCATAACGGTGTTTCCTGGAAGGCATATAGATAGCAGGGTGGGCTCTGCAGGAAGCCCTCCTTTGCTAGCCGCATGGTTTGGCACAGGGTCCTTTGCCTCAATAATTTCAATGAACTCATCTGCAAAAGAGGGAATAAAAATAGAGCCTAGCCTGAAGAATTGGGTGAAGATTAAATTAGATAACATCTGGGAAGCAAATAGCAAACAAACAGTCAAATAGTAAAACAAGTGGTATTTTATTATTTGTTCTTCTTTCCAGGAATATCTAGAAGCTATTGAACCAAGGCCAATACTTTAAGTCCTGCCTCGTAATGGCGTCTTCAGCCTGCTTCCTCCAAAGGTCAGACCACTTCCTTGAGCACACATGCCTATTGGAGAGGTAAGCACTCAGGAAAGTGCACAGGAAGGCATTACTCCATCTAGAAGAGGTTTACTCAGAAAAGGGTGGAGGTGCCCCCCCCAACCTAAACCCTGAGAGCAACTCAGGACTGGAGCTGGTAGAGGAGAGGCCGCAGGGGTTGTTACAAAGGGAAGGGTTTGTGGCGAGGACAGCCTGGGGCCGCAGCTCTTAAATCCCCTATCTCCTCTCAGAAAACCCACCCCCTCCTGACTCAGAATCAGTGCTTGCCTAAAGTTCTATGAGCCTGCCCTGTCTTCTCCCCTCTATAATTCATACTGAGAAAATTATGCAATTTCTCCACAGGACAGGATCTTCACATTTATTTTGCTCTCACTCTTCATTTGATTTACTTCATCATAGGCTTATCTCAGGAGCTCATATATGAGTGTCTTCATTTCCCAAAGAGACTGTATATGCTTTGGCAGCAAAGGAGTGACAAGACAAAGAGAGTGTTTTAGGCAGATTATGTGGTACCAGAGCGTGGGGGATAGACAGAGGTTACGGGTGAACATTTATGGTCAGCGAGACCAGTTGGATGGCTGTTAAAACCTCCAGGCACCTGGTGATAAGGGTCTGGATGGGAAGAAAGAGGAAAAGACAAGATACACATTCTGAAAACTCTAGGCCTCAGTACAGTGCAAAATGCTGGCTCTGGAGCCAGCTGTCTGGGCCACAGTCCTGGCTCTCTCCTTTAAAGCTCCTTCCTGTGGCCTTGGGCAGGTCACCTCATCTGTCTAACCTCACGTTCCTCATCCACGAAGTTCCATAATAAAGTCCCTGCCTCATGAGGTTGTGAGGATTCATTGAACCAATACTAGTAAAAATGCTGAGGATACTGCCTGAAAAATCGCTGCATTTAGTAACAACACCTGGGTATTGGCATCTAGTAAATATTTGCAGAGCAAACAAATTGGGCAATTTAAACAGACTTGTGGAAGCTAAAGGTGTGGGGTGCTTGGGGCAGAGGTGATGAGTGGTGGTGCCTAGAAGTTCAAAGAAGATGGAAAAGGAGGGATAACTGCTAAAAAGGGAAAACAGGGCCACAGGAAGGATCTGCTCAACCAGGAGAGACATGCGCCTGCCTGACTGAAGGATGAGAAACTGAAGGGAAGATGCTATAAAGGACGACGCTCCTTGAGGCGGGAAGGGATGGGGTTCCCTGGGCTGGCCAGGGTCCAGAGGGATTGTAGGGGTAGGTGTCCACATGACAGCATCTTATGTCACTAACTGTCATACCACAGCAAAGCTTGGTGTTGAAACTACCTCATATAACTGTCATGCCCAGAATGGCCATGTCTCTGTCATTACTGTATGAAGGAGGCCTTTCTCTCCTTACCTTATCTACAATAGAATGCAAACTAAATCTAATACCAAAGAATTTTTCAAATGCTCCCCCTTATCAATTAACTGACTCATAGGAGGTAAAATTCACAACCCCCAACTGATAAGCTAATTCAGGCAGTTTATTTGACTTATTGATTTGGGTGGGTTAAAAAAGTCGCAAGCTCATTATCTCATCTTGTTACCTTTGCCCTGCCATTTGCCCATTTCTTTTTTACTGTCTAAATCAAATGCTGTAGCCTAAAGGGTGAAAGCTGGTTTCCTTAGGTGTACCTGAAAATCTCCCCAGACACAGGAGTGAGTCATAATCACCTTTCCCCAGATGCACCAGAAATTGTACTTTTCTTCAGGTGGGTTAAAGAGGGGAAGAACTCAGGGTGCAGATGTTCAAAACACCACTTAATAGTGACGGTAAAGGGAATCTGAATAACTTCAGTACTCAAACAGACA